TAAATCAACAAGACACAACGTCTGGAAATTTAAAGAATAAAAGTAAATTGGATTTAATGTTTTGAACTTCGAGTATATTTATGATGTCACAAATTATTAGAAGAAACAACATACTGTTTAAATATATTTGAGCGGTAAAGCAGCGTATCTCGCTATTATGTTTTGGTGTTTGGATTTGATTCCTGGCTAATTGCCTGGATTAAAATCGGCAGGAGATTGTTAATCAATCATATTATCAACCATGCATTTTTTAATGTCGTCTGGTTGTTTGCTGTCAGGAATACTACAGACATCGTATATTATGCCGCTTTTCGTCGTTAGTTTAGGTAGGTACCTATAAAGATATAATGTCGGGCAAAGAGACTATATGAAATGAGGTGTCCAATATATGGATAGATAAACGTACGCGACGTACGAACGTAGCAAAATCAAATAAAAAGAAAAAAAAATATCAGCATATTGCTGCTGTGCTTCGTATGGTGAGTTACGAGAATCGGAGATCCTTTACCCATTATACTAATAACCAGGCATTACATCTTAGTGTAACGAGTATAGAATTAGGTGCCTATGGACCAGAGCATCCACTTAACATCAAATAATACACAAGTGCATGCACGCACACGTAGTTGTGTATCGCTAGGAACGCAAAGTCGGGAATTTGTATTTGGAAAAATCCAAAATTAGGTGCTTTTTAGGTGCTAATTAGGTGCCAAGTTTAAAAATTAGGTGCTCTAAAATTTTCACCGCAACGAACTGTTGAAATTTGCGTTGCTAGCAAAACGTCTCGCTAGCAACGCAATGAAGTTATTAGACATACGATAAATATTAATAGCAAGGAATTAAGTGCTAATTAGGTGCTGCAAGTATACGCAATAACAAGGCTCCCCTAATAAAAATAAAGTCGTTATTCAGAACATAGCAGATGCAAAATTCAGATTTCCTGAAAATCAAAATACAATCAAAATTGCTTTCAGAAAAAGTCCAAATTAGGGGCTTTTTAGGTGCTAATTAAGTACCAAGTTTAAAAATTAGTTGCTCCAAAATTTTCACCGCAACGAACCATTGAAATTTACGTTTCTGGCAAAACGTATCGCTGGCAACGCATGAAGTTATTAGATATACGATAAATATTAATAGCAAGGAATTAAGTGCTAATTAGGTGCTGCAAGTATACGCAATGACAAGGCGCCCTAAAAAGTCGTTATTCCAAACAAAGCAGATGCAAAATTCAGATTTTCTGAAAATCAGAAAATAATCAAAAATGCTTTTAGGAAAAGCCCAAAATAAGGGCTTTTTAGGTGCTAATTAAGTACCAAGTTTAAAAATTAGGTGCTCTAATATTTTCACCGTAACGATCGATTGAAATTTGCGTTGCTGGCAAAACGTATCGCTGGCAACGCAATGAAGTTATTAGATATACGATAAATATTAATAGCAAGGAATTAAGTGCTAATTAGGTGCTGCAAGTATATGCAATGACAAGGCGCCCCAGATAAATATAAAGTCGTTATTCAGAAAATTATTCAGTAAACCAAATGCAAAAATCGGGTCTTAGTGTTTGTGCTATCTAGCGTCTATCGTACTTACCACCTTGATAGTCCATCGATTTTGATTCGATAAAATGACTAGAACTATAGAACGTTGTAGATGGCGCTATTTATTACAAAGCAATTTACTGGAAAGAAAATATCCTTTCGATATAGTACACTAAAGTTTAGGCTTCACCTGTCTAAAAATAAGAATAATAACGTTTATTTAGTTGAAAATTATATTAAATAATATTATAGATTATATTAAATCTGAAAAACATAAAATGCCGTTCATACCTTATAGTAATTGTGGTTTTGAATCCGATAATTTCCAGAATATTACCGTCATCTACATGCGACCTCAATAATCTTTCAGCCCCTAATTAGCATTTAATTTTTAGGCACTGATAAATAACAAAAATACCGGACCCCATAATTCCCAGAATGAAATCTTAATCTGTATCGCGTTTCGATAATCGTTCAGCACTTAATCAACACTTAATTCCTTGCTATTAATGTTTATCGTATATCCAGTATATCTTGCTAGCGATACGTTTTGCAAGCAACGCAAATTTCAATCGAACGTTACGGTGAAAATTTTAGAGCACCTAATTTTTAAACTTGGTATTTAATTAGCACCTAAAAAGCCCCTAATTTGGACTTTTTCTGAAAGCAATTTTGATTGTATTTTGATTCTCAGGAAATCTGAATTTTGCATCTGCTATGTTTTGAATAACGACTTTATTTTGATTAGGGGCGCCTTGTTATTGCGTATACTTGCAGCACCTAATTAGCACTTAATTCCTTGCTATTAATATTTATCGTATATCTAATAACTTCATTGCGTTGCTAGCGAGACGTTTTGCTAGCAACGCAAATTTCAACAGTTCGTTGCGGTGAATATTTTAGAGCACCTAATTTTTAATTCTTTCGGTTTTCGTAAACTACGTTTTATGTATGTACCTATTCAAATATTAAATTATTTATTCAAAGTTAAAAGTAATAATCAAATAAGAGTATATATATATATATATATATATATATATATATATATATATATATATATATATATATATATATGCTGCTTTTTGAAACGAGACATATCTCAGTTTTTTTGTTATTTATTATATAGTTAAATTATATATTTTTTATATTCGATATCAATGGCTAACTCCAAAATATTGCATTATGTTTTTGTTCAGGCGTTACTCTAAAAAAATACAAAAGCCTATTTGTCTACAAAATTCGTAAATGCATGTAACTAAATGACGATACAATAGTTATAGGATGTATCTAAGTGACCTTTATCCGAACGTTAAATGTGAATAGCGTTTATTAGTTTCGGTGCGAGAAGTTATCGAATCCGAGTCGATTTCGCTTTCCGAGACGATTGTGAATAGCCCGGCAGGTCCATATTTATTTTCCTATCGTGACTCTCATACCTTTGCGTATCGTAACTGCATCGCATGACACCGACAATATCATGATCGCTAGTTTGAACGCAAAATATACGCGATCATGTGATACGTGCATCCCGTTTCGCACAAACCTCGTAGGTATCAGATACACGTATTGTGATTGGTAGTGTGGATGTATTTTGATACTGTATCATGTATGTATCGTATCGCATCGATGTATGTACACATCGATGCGATACGATACATAGATACATCGTGTCCCATCTCTAGTTGGTTTTACTCCGATTACCAAAAGGGAACCTACACGTCGCTACACGTTCTTGACAAGTTTGAACGTAAATGCATTTGATTGCTCTTCCAACATGGTCGTTTCTGTTTTAAAATACTTCTGTTCTGATTGAACTGAATAAGAGCCGCTTATAAAGCCGCGTATCCACCAAAAATGTTGACAACAGTTATGTTTCTAACTGTTTCCAACAAGCGTATCCACCGAGGGAACAAATGTTGGCAACAAGCGGCAACAAGCGTATTCCTTTGATGTTGCCGCCGAAAATGGAAACAAGTTTTGTTGGCAACTGTTGTTTTGGCAACAAAACTTTGGTGGGGACGCGGCTTAAGAGTCGAAGTAGCTAAGAAGAGCCGTGGCTCGAACCTCGCCCACACCAATGAAATTTTTAATGGCAATTTTAAGTGATGATTTACATGTGCTCGACGATGAAGAAAAACATCGTGAGGAAATCTGCATATCTGAGAAATAAGAAAAAAATATTTTGAAGACATGTGAAGTTTGCCAACACGCTCTGGGTTCTGGGCAGACACTTCCTTGCCCTAAAACCCTGTCAGAAATGAAAGGAGGCCTGTGCCCAACAGTGGGTTATATATAGGCTAGGTAGTTATGTTAACTTTAACCTTTATAAGTATTTTGCCTCGACACTGCATGCCGCGGGTTCAAATCGACGGAATAATTGTTTGTAAGACCTGCTAATAATTGTTCCGAGCCTGCATGTTTTTCCATGGGCAATTTCTGGATATGGAAAGTCTCTACGATACAGGAGAAACCCTAGTATGGGGAAATGTTAAAAAGGAGTACAGAAAGAAAAGAGAAGAGAGCTGACAATGCGCTGGTTGGTAGATATGCATATTAGGAGAATCGAAGAAAAAGATAGGTGGCGCTGAAAATTTAAAGTGTCCACACATATTATGCAGATACATTATCCTGATAATCTTGTCAAGTGTGGACGTTTATGTGAAAGTCCACAAGTTCGATAATCTCAGTGTGTATACTCGGAATTTTTTTTTTATAGAATTAGGATAACAAACGAGCACACAGTCCACCTGATGGTAAGTGGTTGCTGCGGCCCATAGACATCTACATCTATCTTCGTTTGCGAATTAAAATGCAGATGTGTTGTCAGCCGTGAGGACTAAGATTGAATGCCTCTTTTACAGTAAAAAGGGTCTCCGGTTCTCTACACTCACCATACGAAACACAGCAGCATTAAGCTGCTATTTTACGCTGGTATCCTGTGAGAGCGTGGTCCTTTCCCGGTCGAGCCAACCCATTCGTGCTACAACTATACTATTATTATAGCTGCAGCATGGCTCTACCACGTACGAAATGTGTTGGCATATAATATAATATTATTCATATATTACTAACCCATTCCTTACGGAAGTAGTGAAATTTAATTCTGATTATTTTTCGATTTTTTACCCCTAATACAGTAAAACAGAAAATTATAACACGTATTTTCTAGCAAACGTCCATTTGACCACTGTGCCAGTTCCAAGTTAAAATACACGTTGATAACTTTATTTAGACATAAAATATTTGCGATAAGATGCTATTTTGTTTATTAAATCAACATATTGAGAAAAGTTTTCTGAACAATATAAATTATACTAGGCTGTGTTGTTTAAGATCTTTGCCTGCCTTAATCAGCTAATCGTAACAACTATAATAGCTTGGCTTCTGGCTTGACATTTGGTTTGACAGTTTATTTCAAAGAGTATAGTAATATATAAGGAAGGTTTATTTAAAAGAAACAAAAAAATGGCTGCGATCGGAATGTGTGAAACACCCGGGTGCAAATCAATTGCTCAGTTACAATGTCCGACATGTATAAAACTTGGCATACAGGGATCGTTCTTTTGCAACCAGGACTGCTTTAAAAAGTCGTGGAAATCTCACAAAATCATCCACTCATTGGCGAGTAAGTTTTTAGGTTAGGATCCAATGTTATGATCTATTCTGGTTTATTTTGAACTCGTCTTGTTTTAGAGGGTGAAAGCACAGATGGATCTAACGTGGAATATAATCCGTGGCCTTCGTATAATTTTACGGGGAAGTTGAGACCTTATCCGGCAGGACCAAAGCGGACAGTGCCTCCTCATATAGGTCGTCCGGATTATGCAGATCATCCCACAGGTTTTCCTGCTTCAGAAAACGCCGCTAAAGGCTCAGGACAGATAAAAGTGTTGGACGATGAGGAAATCGAAGGAATGCGAGTCGCTTGTCGCCTTGGTCGAGAAGTACTTGATGAAGCCGCCAAGTAAGTTGTTCAATAAAGAAATTATTTTGTGTAAAGAAACAAAGAAAATATAATATTTAAACTTAGTAATTCGCAGCCCGGCTAGCATGGACGGGGCACAAAAATTTTATCCCCCGATTATATCCACTGACAAGAGTTAAAATTATCTTGTTATGTCAAAAAGTGAGAAGTATATCCCCGTTTATAAGATAAAAAATTATGCTTTTTTGACTTTTGAAAGGGACAATTTTATCTTAGTTCATTGGATGTGGGTTGAAGTTTATATACATACAAAAAAATTTATCTAAGTCTAAGTCTATCTCCCAATTTATCTACTGTGGATATTATATCCACCGGTGTGCCCATGCTCTAAGGGTGGATAAAACTAAGCGAGGGGATACTAAACATTTTCTCCTTTCCCCGGGGATAAAATTGTCCCCCGCCCATGCTAGCCGGGCAGTTGTCTTGTTGAGTCCTGGTAGTTCAGAAAAAATGCTCTCACCATAATTTTTCTAGCACACAAGCAACATATCGATACCTCCTAAGTATACTGAGTCATCTAACAAATTTAGGTTTTTCATTATTTTTATATAAACTTACATAATAAACCATGATCTTAATGTTAGTGCTAAAAAAAATTAAAAAAGAACGATAATTACGGAGATAATTTCACGTATACTAAATCAATTTCAACATCAGTTAAAATCGTACATTGTATACTGATCCAAATAACATTGTACCAATGTACGCGGGGCGTGAGGGGGGACGCATTGATATAAGTTTATTGTGGCTCAGTATTCGATGAACGGCGGCGAGTGCACACGCAATTTTAGTTAATATTTTTGTTTCGTAAAATTAGTGAATAAAGTAAATGTGGATGTATTTGTCTTATATTGTTTTATATTTTTAATTAATATAAGAAACATAATGCAGTCAAACAGGGCGCGAAAAATTTTAAATTTACTCAATGACAATGTGAATAATACCAATGATACAATAAACAATAACACAAGAATCGATGATAATATAATGCAAAACAGGGATAGAGATGGTAAGTTATCTTTATGTGTATAAGTGTGATTTTGTTGCTTTTCTTTGATAATTGTTGTTCACGTCGCTTAGTACGCCGTATACTCATACAACTGCTGTTACACCAGTATACGGCGAACAAATTTTATAAAGAAGACACTTGACTCATATGTTTATAATAATATACTTATTCAATTTTTGATATTTTTGTGTTAATTGTGTTATAATATATTTTTTTTATCTGTTATATGTTTTATTAATTGTAATTGGCATGTTTAATACAAAAATATGAATTCTTGTATTTTAATTTTAATTATTATTGTTTTAGAGTCTCCACTGCCACCTGATGCAAATTTTACGGAGGAGGAGCTATCAATACTTGATGATGTTGATTTAAATGATAGCAAGGATGTATTGCAAAATATCCCTTCTAACGCTTCCATATTATTCCCGGATGATATTCCTTGCTCCTCGCCTTATGTACCGAATAGTGATAGTAGAACTCAAATAGGAGATCGATCGCCGTCAGTCATAGAAAACACTCCAGGGAATTCGCCCATCCAGAATAGCATTATTGAAAATTATTGTAATATTACTCCAGTACCATCGCCTTATAATTCTTTTGCCCCATCACCTGTTAATTTAGAGTTAAATGATAGTCCTGCGGTCGCCTCCCCTGCATCTGATATTAATGATATCACATACTCACCGTCCAATAACGCCAAACGTCGTAAGCGGACTTCCATTGCTAAGAAAGATAAAGGAAGGCTAAGAGAACGTTTTCATAAAAAATGGAAGGATCAGGAGAGAAAATATAATGTTAATAGAGGTTTGGAATATGTCAGTAGAAACGGAAAAGTACATAGTAAGAGAACTATGAAAACTTCTTGCCCCGTAACTTGTCGGAAAAAATGCAGTGAGAAATTAGCAGAAGATATTCGGCAAAGAATTTTTGATATGTTTTGGAGTATTGGAGACCACTCAAGACAATGGGATTTTTTGGCAAGATATGCTGTAAGATCTGACAAAAAAAGATTTACTGTGGATAAAGAAAATTCAAAACGTCTTCACACTATTTCTTATTACCTTCCAAGCAGTCAAGGAGATAATATTGAGTCTACAAAAATATCGGTTTGCAAAACTATGTTTCTAAGAACCCTTTCTATTAGTTTTAATTTTGTTTACACAGCTTTAGAAAAGTCCGATAAAGGAAATGGATTTGTTGAAGCAGATCAGCGTGGAAGGCATATTAATCATCCAAAGATTATTAATGAAGATATGGTTCGCAGTGTTATAGACCACGTTGAAGCATTTTCTCCTGTACAATCACATTACACTCGCCAAAAATCGAGTAGAAAATATCTTGAGAGCTCTTTATCCTTCCCAAAAATGTTTAAGTTATATAATGAATGGTTTGATTCTAATAAATACTCTTCTAAAGCGACTACCGTGAGACAATACCGAGATATCATTAATAAAAATATCAATATAGGTTTTCATAAACCCAAAAAAGATGTTTGTGAACAATGCCACATTTACGAAAATAACAAGCAAGTTACACAGACAGATAAAGAGAAGCATGAAGAGCATTTGAAAGAAAAAGAGAAAACAAGAAAAATTAAAACAAAAGATAAAGAATTAGCATTACAAAATAATGAAATTCTTACAGCAGCATTTGATCTTCAAAAGTGCCTTAATATACCCCACGGGAACGTAAGTACTTTTTATTATAAGCGGAAACTTTCCTTGTATAATTTCACGATATTCAATCTGGGATCTCACCAAGGTTATTGTTTTTCATGGCATCAACAGACAGCAAAGAGAGGTGCAAATGAAATTTCCAGCTGTGTTTTTAAGTTTATAGAGGATACGGTGGGTGAAGGAGTCAAAGATTACCGGTTCTGGTCAGACAACTGTGGAGGCCAAAATCGAAACAGAATTGTGTTCCTAAAGTATATGTTAGCTAGTTCGAAGTTTAGTGTAGATATCAGGCATCGGTTTCTAATAGTGGGTCACACGCAAAATGAAGGCGATAGTATGCACGCTTTAATTGAAAGACAGACGAAAGATAAAATACTTTATACGCCTGATCAATGGTATACAGCTTTTAGATTTGCCAAATCCGATGAAAAGCCATACAAAGTTATCGAAGTGTCTCGGGATTTAATAAAAGACTTCAAATCAAAGCTAAAACTTATAAACAACTGGACAACTACTAATGATGGATCTAAAATGCCTTGGAATAAAGTAACGGAAGTAGTAGTTAAAGCAGAAAATCCATTTAGAGTGTTTTATAAAACGAGTTACCAAGACGATGCTTACAAGTGGATAGATTGTGTAAAGAAACTTAAAGCTACACGAAATCGAAGAGAATTGAATATTGATATAGATAATATTTCTTTAGCTTATCAGACACCCATTCCTATAGACCAAAATAAGCACAAAGATTTGATGGATCTTTGTAAAACGTTGGTAATTCCTAAAGAGTATCATTTATTTTTTAATAATTTGATTTCAACTAATTCTAATGCAGCTGATGACAGCGATTCAGACTGATTTTTTAACCTTTAATATTTTTATTTCTTTTGTTAAACTTTATAGCTATTTTTGAGTATTACAATTGCCTAGACTTTATTAGATATTTATGTTATACATTTCTATTCTCTTTATTAATATTGTTTAACGTAAGTTACCATTTTTAGTTGTTAATATCTATACTGACCTACTAGAGAAGTATACCTGTTTTAGTTTTTATTTTTATTGATTGTTTGTTGTTTTTTATGAAACTTTAATGATACAACTTTGATAATTTGTTATTGTTGATTTATTCAACTTGTAGCTTTTAGTAAGGCCAAAAAACATGTTCCTACTTAATTATAGTGAAAAATACATTATGATTTTTTAAAATGCGCTGTTTTTGTTTATGATTCTTCTTCTTCTTCCTAGCCTTTCATATTTCGTAAAGTATTAGAAACAAAATGAGTAATTATAAAGCCTCGTTGAAGTATATTAGTCCATTATACGTCGAAGTTTCAAATGTTAACATAGCTTAGTACTTTCCTAGTATAATGAGTCAAGTGATGTAATTTCAACGTTTTATTATTAAATGAGACAGAATATCCCGAAAAAAAATCAAAAGTAAGTTCGTATTAATAAAATGACAATCATATTTATGATATTTTAGTGTAAACAATGGATTTTGATGTACAACGTACATGAATATAACTGGTAGTTAAACCATTTTACTATTGAGACTCGCTGGCGTATACCCAGCTATGTACATAAAATGTCATTTAAAAACAAAAATCAGCAAAATCATTTTATACCAAAGGAAGAGCTTGCAATCTTTATTAAAAAAACATTTAATATATTTCGAATTAGTTTGATTTCATTAAAATATAAACGATTTGCCTTCAAATCGCTCTCCTATAAAATTACTATAATGTTAGTTGACTCATTATACTTAGGAGGTATCGATATGTGTAGGTGTACAGTAGTAGATCTTTCTGCTCCAAAACCATCCCAGATATTAAAGGAGTTATAAAATCTGATTGGGCCATTTTTCCAAGTATTTTTAAGTCTGAGATCTAGAAGTGTATGTAATCAATGTACTTCCAACCCTCCCAATCTGCTACCTATAATTTGATATGATATTGAAAAGGTTTTTAACTTTTATTTTTAATATGCCCAGTGTTGCAAACTTGAATTCTTCCAAATCCATTGATTGGTATAAAAAATTACATTGAATTACGTAGGTACTATTTCAAAATATCCGTAGATCTGTAGACTTTTAAAAAGGACTGAAAATTTTTGTTTTTGTCATCGAATAGATCAATTTTTAGGAGAAATTCTTACGTGAAAAATAATTTAATAAATATTAATATTTGCTACAACGGACAAGAAATTAATGTAGTCGAAAATGCAAAATTTTTAGGCCTCAATCTCGATTCAATCTTAAAATGGAAATCTCAAGTGGAAGATATTTGTACTAAACTCAATCGGTTCTCTTATGCTCTATATAGACTTGGAACAATTGTGAATCAATCTGCCGTCATCACTGCGTACCACGGTTATGTAGAATCGGTGTTAAGGTATGGTGTCATCTTTTGGGGTAACTCTGTAGATAATGAAATGATATTTAGAGCCCAAAAAAGATGTGTAAGAGCCATTGTGAAGTTAAAACAGACAGATAGTTGTAAACCATTTTTTATTAGTCTGAAACTGTTAACACTTCCGTGCCTTTATATATATGAGATAGCCGTTTTTGTTACTACGCATATTTCTTTATTTGAGTGCCTACACAGTAAACGTAATAATCAAAAAATATGTTTTCCATCAAACAACACAGCCCAATTTAACAACAGTGTATTTTGTATGGCCCCTAGAATTTATAACCATTTACCATTACACATTTTGAGATGCTCCAATATAGATAAGTTTAAAATACTATTGAAGCAATTTCTTCTTAATAAGGCATACTACAGTGTGAAAGAATATCTCGAAGACAAATATGAAATTCAATAATTGACTGTTACATGACTGAGAATAACTAAATTGACTTGACTTATACAATATTATCTAAATTGACTTATCGCTATTATTTTTGATTTTGTATCATGTTAATTCCAATTTTAACTAGAGTATGTTTAAGTAATTTAATATAAAAGTAATAAAATGTGATGGACATTGCATGCCAAATGGAGGAATATAGCTGTACTAAATGTTTGTTCTATAAGTGATAAACTATGTAAACACCAACTGTATCAACCTATATTCGCAATAAACGATTTGAATTTGAAAAAATTTGAAAAATTTGTCATGTAAAATTCTTGTAAGTTCAATTGTAGTATAACATTGAATCAAATTGCACATATAAGAAAAAAGTACCATAAAAAATTTATTAAAAATGAATTGTTTTCTTTTAATTTATTTTTACTGATAAACAAATAAAATAACACTTAAATATTTGTGGAGTTATACTAAAAAAATTACTTTACTAACGTGACGCTGGGAAATTAGTTGAATGAAAAACAAGAGACCATCTTCACTAAAATGGTGTTTCGGACTTGGGTGATTTGATGAACTACACAACTAACAACTTTTGAGAAATTTGAAAAAAAAATCGAGGAAAGTGAAGACTTATTTGGCAGAATTTTTTTAATAATTTTAAAAGCAATTGGGATGTCCTGGATTAAAAAAATTTAGACATAAGTGACAATTTAATCATCTATAAAAATGATATAATCGTTTATATTAACTGCCTTTAAAATAGGCAGTTAATATAAACTATTATATAATTTTTGTTCATGTTAGTGAAATAAATGCAATTTAATGCAAAATATATATGCTATTAAAATTTGATATTGATTGACCTCACCGAAAAATTAGATATTTATAAGCAAAAACATTTTTTTTAATACAGTCAGCATAGAAAAACAGAGAGAATGACATTGTCGGCTAAGTTGACATTCATGATAAAAATGTTTTTCTTGTTAAGTTTTTAAAAATTCCATAGTTTCAATCTCAAATTCCGTAGTACTGTAGATGATGACAAAATTCCGTAAATCTACATAGTAATCCACAGAGTTGGCAACACTGCCTATATCAATCATAAGTGGATACTAAAAGTAGCAGACCTTTTATTATGGGTATTGTTAGGAAGCAAGACACTACTACTAATAATTTTTCTGTATATTTGTGACATTCTGTCAGTAGGGAGATTGTGTCATCAATTACTGCCCCTCAACTGTTGTCATGTTATGTTTTTAACTTAATTGTATAATTTTTTACATGGTAGAGCCATGCTGCAGCTATATTTCTAGTATAGTTGTAACACGAATGGGTCGGCTCGACCGGGGAAGGACCATGCTCTCACAGAATACCAGCGTAAAATGGCAGCTTAATGCTTAATTTTTTTTTATATGTGTTACCTCATAATTTTTTACTGGGTGGACCGATTTTGATGATTCTTTTTTTATATGAAAGCTGATACTTCTCGTGTGGTCCCATATTAATTTGATCAAGGTCAGATCAATATTTTTTTGAGTTATTCTTAATAACTTATATTGAAGTCTGCTGTACAAAATTTTTAATTTTAAATTATTGTACCTATATCTATACTAATATAATAAAGTGGAAGAGTTTTTTTGTTTTTTTGTTTGTTTAAACGCGCTAATCTCTGGAACTACCAGTCCGATTTGAAAAATTATTTTTGTATATTATAGCCAGATACATGTGGAATAGTATAGGCTATCTAGCATTAAGCTATATCACTCAGCTAGCCTTAAATATGGATATTTGTTAAGCAAGTCAGAAGAAAAAGCACTCCCGAAATGATTTATCCGCGTACGCTGGTGTTATCGTTAGGGATACGTAAATACAATGTTCTAGAAAAATATAGATCTTTACTCCGTCTAAAAAAAGTCCGTGATACCATATGTCTATTTCTTATACATGAGCCATAAATAGGTATTTTGTGACAAAAAATATTGAAAATTTAAAAGTGATTTGAGCGTTATTATTAGGCATGGCCTATTTATCCTTACGAACGAAAATTACTTCATTATCAAGACAATTTAATGAAGATAAACTTTGTTCTTTATACCATGTTATTTGGACGCATAGTTTAAGAGATAATGTAAAATTAAAATAATTCAATACTTGGCTGGGCGCGCGAACGACGCATAAACCCTAGCCGCCCGGTGAGAACGTGGGGGGGGGGGGGAGGACGCTCCACCGGGAGGGGAAGGGAAAGTGGATAAAACTTACCTTCACTCTACATCATACATAATATGCCGACAGATAAAAGTACTCCATTAATTATGCCAATTTTTCCATCCATTGCTATCAAATAAAATATTTAATTGCAATTATATAATGCTTGAACTAGGTCATGTCGCGCACCACCGACACGTGATGACGCGGGTGAAACCGCAGGGCACAGCTAGTTAATTTATAAAACATCACAGAATAACAAACAAATGAAAGTTAATTAAGTTAAGGGTTCTATGTCAGAAAGGAGTGGTTGTATTAATTGTTTTTATCTTGGTCAATAATTTTAGGTCAAGGCCTGCTAACCCACTGCAAAAGCTAACATTCAAAAAAGTAACATTCATCGAATAATCTAATAACATTTAGATTGTTGATTGAATGTCTAGCTTATGTAGATTAGTCTTAATTGAAAAAATTGCCTTAGTGTCTGATAGTACACAGTGTGTTGTATGTATAAATGTATATGTAATGAAAATACATATATATGTATTTATTAATAATATTTTTTTATGTATTAAATGTGCTTTTTTAGTTTCTAATAGTTTTTCAGTTATTTCTTGTATTATAATTAATAGAATCAGGCATTACTTTGCGGAAATCCATTATATAAAAGCTTTTAGAAAAATTTACTTCGCAAATATCTGCGTTATAAAATAAAATGATGTGTCTTACCTAGTATGAAGACCACCTCCCGCCCTCCCTCAATTGCGTGCACTATCCCCATCACCACTAATCCCAGCACCGCTACTCCCAACACCACTACACTAGGCAAGACACACCACTGACGATAATACGACACTTGTTTCGCCTCTACACGAGGCATCCTCAGGTGATATAGACTCTAGGGTGGCTAACCGCTAACTTAGCGCTTTTATTTCTTGTATTGCTAAAACTATGTTAAACTATCACCACTTCATGGGTTGACTGATAGGATGCCTATAGGCTTTAATTTCGCCCTTTGAATCCATTCATTTCATACAGGGAATTCAAGAAAGATAAAAAATAGATGTGGCAGAGGGAACAGAGCAGCAGGGTTCTATTGATAAGATTCCTTTAATATTTTTAAAGGTTTATTGTTCTTCATTTCCACATAAAAACTTCTAGACATAGTCATCTTTTGTTGCTGCTAATTGTTGCTTTTTTTTTATAGTGACAAACGGGCACACAGTCCACCTGCTGGTAAGTGGATGCTGTAGCCCATAAACATCTACATTTATCCTCAAATCTCCAAATCTCTCAAATCCTCTCTCAAAAATCCTCAATCAAAACACAGCTGCCTTGTCAACCTTGAGGACTAAGATGGAATGCCTCGTTACCAGTAAAAAGGGTTTCCGGTTCTCTACAGTAACCATACGAAACACAGCAGAATTGAGCTGGTATTCTGTGAGAGTGTGGTCCTACCCCGGTCGAGCCGACCCATTCATGCTCCAACACTGAAATGTCCTTATGAGGCTATCACTCTAGAAATGTTATTCCCCATTGGCTGTCAGTAATGAGCTGAGTAATGGCTGACAGATTGCCACTTTAGCCAACTGATATGCTACACATTCACATCAGTAAATTACATTTAAAATGACACAAGAAATTAAATTAAAAACCATTTTCGAAACTACTACTTCTACCTACTTTACCAAAGTCATTTATATCAATAATAGATTAATGAAAGTTATGTATAAAATGCATTATCAGGAGCCCATGATAATATATACATCCCTTTTACAGAGTATGTGATGTAGGTGTCACAACCGATGAAATCGACAGAGTAGTGCACGAAGCGTGTATTGAAAGGGAGTGCTACCCGAGTCCACTCAACTATCACAATTTTCCAAATAGCTGCTGCACATCGGTCAATGAAGTTATTTGCCATGGGATACCTGATCTACGTCCTTTACAGGTATGTTTGTATTTTTACTGGAGTCCATGGCAGCTGGGCAGTACACATGTTTACTTTCATAGTATCCAGTGGGGATCAACCACTGGTGTTATATAAATTATGAATTTCAATTTTCACTGTATTCGGTGGTGAAGGATGAAATCGCCGATCACATGTTCGAAAAATATTTTGTGTATGTGTGATGTCTGACAGCATGCATTAGAGTAATAAACCTAAAGTTACAACCTCTATACATCCCACTCCTGGGCAAAGGCCAGCTCTCATTTCTAAGAGGGCATTAGCACGAGGAACTAGTTTCATATTTTGAGAAGCCTCTGCGCAGTAGTGAGAATGTAACGGTCAATAGAGATTTTTTATTTGGTTCATGATTTAACAATATATGTATCAAATGGCGGTATGGCTGAATACCGTGTGTTAAGTTTCGTTACGGCTTTTGGGACATTATTGAATGCTTTTTCACTTGCACTTGAAAATGCTGTAAAACTTCGATTTTTGGATGGTGATAATGGATTCGCATCCACCCAACAAGTGCTTCACACGCCAGATACCACGACCTTATCAAGAGTCCACTGCTGAACATGGGCCTCCCCATAGCTTACCTCATGGGGGGACTTTGCAATATTTGACGCACTTATCTAACTTACCACTTGCAAGTTGGCAACTTCAGTTTTAATTATATTGAGCATCCAAACATGCTGTTGTTCATCTATTTTAGTTTCCCACTGTTCCCTCTTAGGATACCTTTTACGACAATATAGGGTAGTGGATATGATTAAACCGCCCACTGCACGGTTTACCGTTATCATTACATCCTATCAAGTCCACTGTGGAACATAGGTCTTCTAAATGGTAATTGACTTTTTAGTAAGTCTAGCGGTGACCGTTATTGCGCATAAGTCGAGAATAAGGTATCTTGGGGTAGTAAGTGGGTCGTGGGGCGGTCGTGCGTATTGTTCGCACGCGCTGATTGGCTCTTCAGTCGCTTTTGTGCAATTCCATTCGTGCACGCAGTACCCATGTACAGCTATCCCCTCCACGTTTCGTTCAGCGCTAGACTTACGTGCCGTGACTTGTACAGCGTATTAAAGGCTACTGCTGAATATAGACCTCCCCCATAGATTGCCTCATAAGGGGGGTATCTGGTATAGTCGCCACGCTGTGCAAGTAAGTGGGTTGGCAACTGCATTTTTTTATTTTTAGTTGTTATTAGGAAGATGCTGCTACCCATCTCCTGGTTCAGCTTCTTCTGACGCCTCTTACGACAACCACGGAATGATAATATAGGGTAGTGAATATTCTTACACCGCCACTTCTCGGTTAACTCCACGACACAACTATGAAAATTTAAATTGGTCGTGCTTAGTAAAGTAGGTCCCGTATTCCTATAGGGTTTTAGGTTTTAGATCAATGGAGAGACCGCCGCGCTACCCTAATGTGCTTGGAAAAAATCCTCACTGGTTTCCTCACGCTGTTTTCCTTCACCACCGAGTATGTGGTTTAATCAGAACTTTCAATTGCAATTACCAATTTTATTGGTAGTGGATAGGCTGAATTTATTTTTATAATCTGAGCAGTCACGATTAAACTCAGGTTGTTGCACTGGTTATTACGTTAAATTTACAGTGAGCACAGAGAGTAATTAAATGCGAAAGAATCCGTAAATATTGTCTAAGTGAAATTAAAAATTAAAACGAACATATAGTTCATATTGATAAGTACCGTTTTTTTTTACATTTTAGTTCAATATTCGATTCAGTCATTCATTTATATAACAATTTTAAAGCAAGATCTTATTGCCTAAGCTACCGTGGTTCACTTATATATTGTAATAAAATAATTAACGTTAACTGGTTTATGGTAATTTCAGGATGGCGATATTTGTAATGTAGACGTGACAGTCTACCATCGAGGTTTTCACGGCGATCTAAACGAGACATTCTTTGTTGGTAACGTACCAGAGTCAAGTCGAAAACTTGTGCAAGTTACGTATGAGTGCCTTCAGAAGGCTATAGAGATTGTGAAGCCCGGAGAGAAATACAGGGAGATTGGAAATGTGATTCAAAAGCATGCACAAGCTAATGGACTAAGTGTTGTCCGTTCGTACTGCGGCCATGGGATACATAGGCTTTTCCATACGGCACCAAATGTACCGCATTATGCAAGTGAGTTTTTTTTCTTCCATGCATTACAACCTGTCAAAGGTCCACTGCTAAACATAGGCCTCCCCCATAGATTGTCTCATATGGGGGATATTTGCCATAGTTGCCATGCTTTGCAGAAAGGTTGGCAACTGCAGTTTTTTAATTTTAGTTGGGTTTGTGATAAGGAAGATGCTGCTGCCAATCTTTGGTTTTAGTCCCCTCTGTCGCCTTGTATGCTATGTCACTGTGCTTAACATATGGAAGTGGGGACTATTACTCAACTGCTCCTGGATTGTAATGTTTATATATTATGTATTATTTATTATGTATTATTCTCTGTTTCATGACATAATGTAGTTTTGTTTGACCCCATTTTAACTCTGGAGGTATCTAATAATACCAATGTGCTACAACAAAATACAATATAGCACTTCATTAAGTGCATTCTCACCAATATGTACAGGGTCTTTCTTTGTAATTTTTTTTTACCAAAGTACATTAGTTAGAGATCACTAGTATTATAGCAATTTCCAATTTCGTAAAATTTCGTAAAAACCTTTGCGATGAGATAGAGATACATCCATCTACAACGCCATGTACAAAATACAAAATAAATATATATAAATGTACAAAATAAAATGTTCAAATGTCCATTATATGGACTGCAAAGTTATTCAATTATATGTTACTATGTAAAAGAAGTTTTGCTACTTAATTGCGGTAATCAAAACTTAACTTCAATAATTTAATTTTATTCATTGTCACAATTATCTATTTGGTCATGTCATAATTTTTTGATATTATAACTGTTGCCTAATTATATTAAACATACATTACGTTTTATGGATGTGTCATATGGGACTTTGTTCTAGAATTCTTTTTATAAAACTGTATTAACCAACGAGTTGCTTATCTGGTAGAGCCACACTGCAACTATATTAATAAATAAATATCTATACTTCGTTGTGGTAATCAAAAATTAACTTCGATAAATTAATTGTATTCATTATCATAATTATCTATTTGGTCATGTCATAATTTTTTTGATATTATAACTATTGCCTTTAATTAAACATTAAACATACAAAGTTATGTTTTATGGATGTTTCATATGGGACTTTGTTCTACAATTTTTGTTATAAAACTAGTGACCGACGAGTTGTTTATGTGGTAGAGCCACACTGCAACTATATTATACTTGTGCTCCTGGATTGTAATGTTGTTGTGTTTCATATGGTGAGTGTAGAGAACAGGAGACCCTTATTACTCGAAATGAGGCATTCCATCTTAGTCCTCAGGGTGACAACGCATCTGCATTATGATTCTTAGTCGAGGATAAATGTCTATGGGCCACAGTAACCACAGGTTGTTGCAGCCAATATGTACTGTTTTAATCTCTTTTTGCACAATTTTAATTTATATAACTGTCTCAGACATTTGGATTGGAGTTACGCTAAGGTTCTAAAATTTTCTTTCTGCAGAGAACAAAGCAGTTGGTGTGATGAAACCAGGACATTGTTTCACCATTGAGCCGATGATAAATGAAGGTGGCTGGCGTGATGAGCAATGGCCGGACCATTGGACTGCTGTCACTGCTGATGGTTCACGGTCGGCACAGGTAAGAACATTCTGAAACATACAACATACTAGAAAATAGTCAAGAAATGTCACCAAAAGTGTGGGCATGTTTTAAAATAACAAAAAAGTTAAGTACTGTGTATTGTCTATTGGGAGTAAACCTGTTAATACTGGGATATTCTGGTCAAGCCGACCAACATTGTACTACGGTTATATAGCTGCAGCGTGGTTCTAACACATACAAAAATGAATATATATTAGCTTATATTTATCACTTTGAGAAAACCCATACAACAACCGATAAATAAAACAGATAAATGGATTTACGTTTTTATGTTTCAGTTTGAACAAACGCTGCTAGTGACAGAGACAGGTTGCGACATACTGACGAAGAGAGCGACAGGTCGACCGTGGTTTATGGACCAGTTGGAGAAACTCAACGCCAACTCCTAGTCTCGACAGTAATAAATGCTTGTCCATTGAGGAAACTTACAGGTGATTTAGGAATTTTACCTTTTTTTTGTATATATCTGTAATAGTAATTGCAGGGAGTGAATAAGCATAATGAGGGACAGCGACTGTTTGTGTTTGGGCTTGTTGTGATAATGACTATGTTTTGCTGCCAGGACTTATTTGTGCTATTACTACTTTTCCATTTTGATGACTGCAATTGAAATGTGACAATAACTACGTGGTAGAGCCATGCTGTAGCTATATTATGGTTGTAGCACGAATGGGTCGGCTCGACCGGGGAAGACCACGCTCTCATAGTAAACCAGCGTAAAATAGCAGCTTAACGCTGCTGTGCTGTGTGTACCCTTTTTACTGGCAAAGAGGCATTCCATCTTAGTCCTAACGGGTGACAACGCATCTGCATCTTGAGTCTTTATTGAGGATAGATGTAGATGTCTATGGGTCACTGTAACCACTTACCATCAGGTGGACTATGTACTCGTTTGTCACCCGATCCTATAAAAAAAAAAACTTTACGGTTGAGGGTATGGATTGTGGACTAAATTCATAAGTTCGAAGCTGCCATTTGACTACTGTCTTGAATCACTCCAAATACATGCATTTTAAGCTTACATGGTGAGGTTAACGGGAACATAAGTTATTTTAATTAGCATTGCTAATATTTTAAACGATTCATCAATTGATTCATTCTAGCCTATCAAAAGCACATGCTGAACGTAGAACTTCCCTTACATTTTCTTATAGGAATCCTCCCTTCTTATGCCCTTTGCCATACATGAATATTTCAACTGCAGTTTGCTATTATTTTAAGTTGTTATCAGAAAGATGCTACTGCACATCTCCTGTTTGATTTCCTTGGGATAATTTAAATATTACATATATATACGTGGTAAGGGCCATGCGGCAGCTATATTTCTGGTATAGTTGTAAAACGAATGGGTCGGCTCGACCGGGGAAGAACCACACTATCACAGAATAGCAGCTTAATGCTTCTGTGTTTCGTATGGTGAGTAGAGAACCAGAGTCCCTTTTTACTGGAAACGAGGCATTCCATCTTAGTCCTCATGGGTGACAACGCATCTGCATTTTGATTCGTAATCGAGGATAAATGTAGATGTCTATGCGCCACAGCAACCACTTACCATCAGGTGGACTATGTGCTTGTTTGGCACCCTTACCCTATAAAAAAAAATACAAATTTTATTCTGTTAAATTTTAGTGGTGAAACCAACCAGTAATGAAGTGATTTATAAATGATTATCTGTAATATAAAGTTTAGTGTTAATTATATTATTTTTCTTTCAGGTATCCTCGCGAAAATCTGTAGTAATTGTAATCAAAACTACCTAGATATTTGGAAATTGTTACAAATATTAATGTGCAATAAATTTTAGAAAAAAATAAGAAAATTTTGCATATAAATGTAAAAGTACACTTTTTAATATGTGTTTTAATGTAATCTCGATGGACCGGCAACACTGAATTGTGTACCAATTGAATAGTCAACAAGTTATAACTGTCTAACTACGCTAGAAGAATTTTTATTTTGTTTATAAAATACAAGTCACTGTTGAAAATATTATATTACTAGAAATTATCGTACTCCTGATGTAAGAAATTACATTCAAATTTATTTATAAAAATTGAATATTTCTTAGTATGTTATAACTTATAACACGCATAAGACACTGCCATCATCATCATTACAGCCCTTCACAAGTCCACTGCTGAAAATAGGCCTCCACCAAAGAATGCCACAAAGCATGGTCCTGAGTCACCTGCCTCCATCGACTTTCTGCATGTCTTACCAGGTCGTCACTCTCATCTAGTGGGTGGACGCCCTACACTTCGCCTGCTGGTACGAGGCTGCCACTCGAGAACCTTTCATCCCCATCGGTTGTCGGTTTTTCAAGTTATATGGCCGGCCCATTGCTGCCACTTCAGCATACTAATTCTTTGGACTATGTCGGTTACTGTAGTTCTACTGCGGATATCTTTGTTTTTAAGTCTATTACGCAGAGAAACGCTGAGCATAGCCCCCTCCATAGCTCGTTGAGCGACTTTGAGCTTCCTCATACGACCAGCAGTCAAATCAAATCGTCAACGGACCCGCGTCTTTGCATACAACATCCTTTCCTGGTACTAAAATAATTACCACAGTGGATAAAGTCACAACACCTATTGGACCGTTTTGTGCAGACATGTTCCAACCCACATAAATATAGTTATTCAGATTTGAAATATAAATAATTTTTCTCTGTGGCTTTACCATTACAGCGTATTAAAAGCTACTGCTGAATATAGACCTCCCCCATACATTGCCTCTGAAGGGGGATATCTGTAGTTGCCACGCTGGGAAAGCGGGTTGGCAACTGCAGTTTTCTTTATTTTTAGTTGTTATTAGGAAGAGTCTGCTGCCCATCTCCTGATCTATTTACCTGTGTCGCCTCTTGCGACACCCACGGGATGATATGGGATAGTGGATATTCTTACACCGCCACTACACAGTACGGTGAGATATTAGCCCTAGTATATCATGTTGTGTATATCATTTTAAATAAAGTTGAAAGTAGACGACTATTTTCCAATAGACTTTCATACTTGGTAATAAACTGAAAAAGAGCCTTTTTTCCCCACGATTATCTCGAGAACGGTTTCGAATTTTCAAATTCTGTTTTCAGCCATTGATTACTGATCACTCAGGCATCTGAACCTCCTATTTTGAAACTGATTGCTCAACGGCAACCGTTAGAAACCGCTACAAAGCTGATTGCTTCGCCACTTTGCTATGCTGTTAGCTTGCTAGGTTTATTTTGGCCAGTTTGTGGGTTGCATAATTCACGGTCGAATTAAGACTCGGGGATGGCTCAAGCAAGTGGGGGTAGATTTCTACCCTCACTTTTATCATTTGTACTTTTTTTTTGTACCCTGATTGCTAACAACATACAACTATTTTACTTTTGTAATATTTATATGATATACACGGTTTTCTGATAGTTCTGTATATTATACCATGCTATATAAAATTGGGTACTTGACATCATAATAACATACACTATGAATGTAAAATAATAATGAAAAACTAAAATTATCATACAGTCCTAACCCCGCGATATAGTGTCAAGAACACTGGCTTCGTTTCCTCGATGAATGGCTATACTTTTTTAGTCTATGAGTGAGAAAACCTAAACTACCCTATTGTTAATGTAGGAAAACAACTTTTACACTTAACTTTAGTCAGTAAACTACATCACAGTTTTCGCGTAATGAACAACCGTTCTTGTAAAAAATCTAGTATCAGATAAATGAGACAAAATAGGATTTGGAGTTTTGGCGGGAACTTGTGCGCCGGTGGATTGTTATTCCTGTTTTATCGTTTAAATAATAGTTTGAATTGGATTTGGATACGTAAAAATGAAGTGATTTTGTGTACTAAGTGTCTGCGCATATCAACTATTAGAGGAATCAATGAAACAAGTACTCTGATGTTGATAGAAACCTCAACTTATTTTGTCCGATTAGGCGTCTTAACAACTTGAGATACTGTCGTCATCGACTATCCGTTGAGTTAAGCTGTCGTCAAAGTCTCCCAAGTACTTCTCGATGTGATGCATCGCCATATTGTGAAGAAGTTTTTGAAACAAACAATCTTATATGATAATTTCTTATTACTTGACACTGGCAAAAGTATAACCGAACGCGTCCATAACCAAAGAAAAAAACTGATGTGATTGCAATTAGGTCCAACAGATGAAACGTTACTACTTACTAATTAATTGATCATCATAACAAGTCTATTGCTAAACATAGGCCTATCATAGGAATGTCACAGCAAACTTGGTCGTGAACCACATAAATCTATCGACTTCTTATTACTTTCTTTCCTTATATCTGAGGGTGCGTACAGATTAAGTAACATGTTGTGTAATTTTTGTTTTATAACAGGTCCGCTTTATGTAACATTGTTTTACAACATTGCAACAAAGCAATACTGTATACTTTAGAATAACAATGCAATATAACAATGTTATATGACATTGTCGTATGACATTGTCGTTTGTCGTTCCGCCCTTCGAGTTATATAACATTTGTGTCACGTTACATAACACGTATTATAACGTTCAGCCTCCACATTACTGAACATGTTATATAACAAAAAAAATGCACCCTGTAAAATTACATACATATATACTTACTAGGTTACTTGGACTATGTTTAGCCAAAACATATTGATTTTAGATGGAAAATTATAATAGAAATGATAGCCTAGGCCATCGCCTACACAATCACAAACCAAATACGCCCATTAGTTCCCCTTTGCAAGTAACACAGTTGACACTATGTCCCACATACATAATAAGTAATTCAACCTTCTAAATCTCAACTATATTACTTATAAAACTGTAACAAAAAGAAAACAAACCGAAAATAACATCAAAGTTAAATATAACTTGGGTTTATTTACTGCATTATGCAAGCGTTTGTATCACCGGGTTGATTCAGTAAACTCGACTAATGTGACGCCACTAGTAGTTACAAACGTAAATGCCTCGTTTGTCTGGTGGTCGTAACCGCGACTGCTGATCACGAGGCACCGGGTACGAATCCCGGGTCGACCCAAAAAATAGTTGAATTTTTCTGTCAATAAATTCTCAGTTGCACAGCCCGTAGTCAGGAAGTTGGCGCTGTTTCACTCCCGTGCCTCAGAAAACAAGTAAATCCGTTTGTCCTGCGCCTGATCTCTCTCCGGTCGTGTAGGTTTACCGCTTAAGCGTACACTCAGGCACTATAACCCTGTCCTGCGAAGATGGCTAGTCTCCGTCTCGGTCTGGAGAACATTATTTTTTATTACAAACATTAGAGACGCAAACTTTCATACCTACAATTTCTAAGTCAACTCCTATCATAGGCGACTGCTATAACCAGCCTTGGACTGTTTAATGGCTGAAGGATGGGAATGAGGATTCAATCAATTGTACGTTTATGATCTTGTGCGTTGGCTAAATGTAGTTCGAGTCTAAAAATATTATTTATGTATTATATTAATCGCTTTAAAAGCAAAACCACAGACAATAGGAAGGTCAATTATATTATTAGTAGTGTCTTACATAAAAAGTACTCTGAATGTACTACAAACTAGACATGGGACGAGTACTAGGATTGGTTTCGGTACTCGACGGATTCGGCCTTTTTTAGGGTTCGGCTGAGCACCGAGTATTAACGGCCGCGTACCGGGTACCCGGCCTTAATTATATTCCAGAGAAAAATAAAGTCAAAATCCAGTTTTTATCATTATTATATTAGACACATTAAACGTCAGGAACACGAGAAGCAGCAGAAATATTTAGAACGTACATAAGAATCTATAATAGAAATTATTTTTACTAATATTTAAAATTTAAGAGAGGAAGATTGTGATGCAAAAACACTAGTTTTCCGGCCTTATTTGGGTCTAGTTTCTAAGGGAAATAACCGCACGCCGCCCGCTACCGCGTTTTTTAAAGCCGAGTATTCGGCAGAGTACTCGGCCCAATCTAGGCCGAGTACCCGGTGGCCGAGTACTCGTCGAATCACTACTCGTTCCATGTCTACTACAAACGCAAACTGATTGGAAAGCTATCAGCCTCCCCAAATTGTTTAAAATTGAAGTATATAATTATAAAAAAATTGTGTTGATATTTTAATTTATTCCGAAATATTATATTATGTAATTATACTATTGCGCCAAATATTTATTTTTAAAACTGTATAGGTTAATATTTTTTGGTTAAATGTACCTATTATATTTTCTTTGAATTTATTGTAACAGTGGTGGGAATGTTTTTGGAAGTTGTATAAAAATTGAATACATTTGTACGAGTAATAATAGTGACTTGATTTAATAAAAGTTTTATGAAAATTTTCAATGTTTTTTTATTTGTTAAGTAGATAATTTCCTGATTTAATAAATAAATTACAGTGAAAGAGCTAAATGCATTAAATATTACTTATTACTAACTTTAAATACAAATATGTACACTTAAATATAAGCTAAGTCATATTTTATCTAGCAACACTTAAAACATTCGAAGTAAATTCGAAGATAATAACAAAATTCGAAGAAATTACACTAACCGTACATAAAAAATGTTTTAAATTATTTAAAAGCATGAGGATCTAGCGAAAAATATGATAATGACCGTTTTGAATTGAGTTGTGAGCTAACTTTCGCATATGAGATACTTATCTCCTTTATTTATTTATTTATTACTGATAAAATTATAATCATATTTTTTAATTGTAAATTTAAGCCGTTTAAAGTTTTGAGACTTCATTATTACGTTTTAAACAATATTAAACAAGCTAATGTTCGTGCCAGGCGATGTATTAACACCTGTACGAGTCAGGATAAGAAAAAAATTGTTATACTATTAAATTTTTAACAAATAACGTGTAACAATTTAAAATAAATAACGAAAAAAAATTACTCAAATATATCTTATATATCTTCCATCCTCTGGCTTTTGTTTTTTTTTAGTTCGATTTTCACATGTATCGTGGAGGCAGTTAACATACATAAATTACGCCAGGACAAATATCCAGACCCGGAACAATTATTTGTAGCCCATACAAATAATTCTTCCTTGTGTGGTTTCTCAGTGCCGCAGTTCCATGTTACGCCATTGCGCCACGGATGCGTAAAAATTGCATATTGTGCAATGAAACCGTATTTAAAGCTATTAGAAATTTGGCATGTTGGCCCTATTTGTTCAAATAGTTTGTTTTTATAAGCTATTTGTCCTGGATATATCAACTAATACTTGGCCGCTTAATCTAATTATGACCTTGAATATAAATACTTAAAAAGATATGCACTAAGTCTGATTTTTGTCATTCCTCATATTCTTCAAACAAAGGTATGTAGTCGTCACTTCTAGAACGAAGCTTGAGGCCGAACTGTGAGACTTGTTTTGGGTCGTTCGTTATTGTTTGGTCGAATGTTTTCATGTTGGCGGCCTTCCGATTCTCCAAATTGTCTTGTTTTCTTGTCACTGGGTCTTTGAATTGTTTTACATTGGACAGTTTTGAAAGCAAAACTTCCTTCTGCAAACAAAAACACGTAAATAATTAGTCATAAAAGAGTCCATCGGTTGGTAAGTGGTTACTGCAGTCAATACAGCAGGTGCAATATTGTGTTTTGAGCTCTGACGATTAAGACGTAATATTTTAATTATATTTGTAAAATATACAGGGTTATTTTGCAATAAGCGGCCAATTTTGCAGAGAAGCTTCAGAATATGTAATATAGACAAACGGTGAAGAAAAATTAATTTAAAAAATCGCAAACATGCTGTCATTTTTATCTTTGAAATCCAAAATGCGTGGTAATTTATTACTTTAACTGATTTAACTGCGCACGCACACATTCGTGAGGTAGGCATAAACTTTGTTGCCTATAAATAACATTAAATTAAAAGTACAAGCTTAATTTACTCGTATATTCAAAAACTGCAATAACAGTATATCATTATTCATATATTTGGACTTAATTTTAAAATTTGCCTACTTTTTGAAAAATAAACTTGTATATCATATAATTACACGAGCTCTCTACCACATTTTAAACCATGACAAAACGTTGGATTCGCTCCTTGATAGTAGACTTAAGATTGTGGTACATACTCAGACGAATTCCTAGATAAGAAGAGGTCTACCCCATCTAGAGCTGCAGAGAGACACTTCAATTTTATTTATATTGTATAAATGCAGAAAATATTATCTTAAAGTTATATCTGCCAACGACGCTTGACTTCCGGGGTGACAACGCGTCTATGTTGATTCTTTAATGAGGTCGAATGATGAAGTACTCTGCCTTCATACGTATCTCACAAACAAATAAAGCAAAATTCTCAAACGAAAAGATAGGTACAAATTGTGGTAACTCGTTTGTCGTCACCTTAAAATTATGAAAATTGCGGAGTTTCTGTCCGGATCTTAAAACGGGCTGAAACCGTTGCTTTATTAAACATTACATATAATATGCACAACTATTACTTAAATTACTATTATTTAAATATCAAAAATACATTTATGAATGTGCAACGCTACACAAGATGTGTTCATTTTTATTAACAAATATTTCTAATAATTTACCTGCATTGGATTTTCAGAATAGCTAGCGTATATTCTTAGTATCGGTTCCCCAGTTTTATTATCAAAACTGAGCTTACTTTTTGGAGGTATTTTAGCCTTTACTACTGTCAACTTTTGTGGTATAATTTCCATTTTGTTCTCCGGAATTGTGATCAGTCGTAACGGAGGCCGTCTTGACGCCGTATTGACTTTTACATTGGTAAAATCACGATCCTCACTTATCATAGCTTGCACCAACTGACCAGCAAACACATTGCCTTCTTTATTCACTTTTGTTTGATCTTGTGATCTCAGTAATGTATATGCAACATTAACAGATCCATCTGGCTTTTCAAACGGCGTTCCTGCAATTGGCTTTATTTCATTTAAAGTTTCATTCTTTCCTTCTTTCTCTGCGTTAATACTTTTATTTTCACCAGTTTCTGATTTGGCAGTCGTGGTAGTCACATTTCCTTCGTGAATAGGTGTTTTTACTTTCTCTTGCGCTAAAGCGGCCGCAGTACTGACATCATTTATGGCTGAATAAAACTCTTTAGCCATTACATTACTAACATTCTGACCTACCTGGGCATAATAGATAGGTGTAGTCTTTTGTTCTTCCGTGGTTGTTTCAACATAGTTCTTAACAGTTGTCGTGGGAGGTTCTGTTTCGGATGTTACTGTTAATAATGTTACATTTTGTGATTCGTTTAGTGTGGTTGCATCAATGAAGTTCTCAGTGACATTACTAGGAGTAAAAGCTTGGGGTATTAAAGAAAGAACTGAACCTTCTTGCGTTTCCCTTTGCACAATGTTTCTATGAGGTTCTCTTGGCTTGAAAGATGTTGGTATTTGTTTTGTTATCACTTCGTTTTCTAATAGGAATAGTTCAGGTTGAGATGAAGTTTGTTGAATTTGAGGCTGCACGTCAGTGGGATAAGGTATAAATTCCACTGACTGAAATTGTAGCAGTTGGTTCTGCAGCTTTTGTAAGAAATTGGGATCGTTTTGGTATAGAGCGTGCGGTGAAATAACGAATCCTTCGGCTGTTGTTTGTAGAAGATTTTGATGACCTGATAGTTCGTTTAAACCCTGCAAGTGATTTTATATATTATTTAATTTAATTTCGAAAAGGTAATATTAGAAATACAATAATTTAAAATGGACCGTGTAGTGGCAGTACAATACCCGTTCCCCAATATCGTCCCGTGGGTGTCGTGAGAGGCAACAGAAGGAAATGAAACAGCAGATGGACAACAACTCAAAATAATAATTAACTTTATAATATTAATAACATTTGCTAAGCGTGGCAACTGTGTCAAAATAATGTCCTCCCCCATTCCACAGACAACAATTATACTATTTGGTCCCCCCTGTTAAGCTATCAATTAGGGATGCCTATACTCAACTGTAGACTTTGATAGACTGTAATGAATTAATGAAATAAATAAGATTAAAAGATAATAAATGCTTGATGAAACATTCATGATGATTATTCAGATTTACTTGGACTTTCTCCACGCCCATATATCGTACAAGACATACCAAATCGTTTTCCAACTCTCACTTTCATACAAAATATACCAAAAAATATCAAATCTGTTTCACTTATAACCAATTTTTTGCAGACATTGATATTTTTACGAAAAAGAAAAATTTTTTTTAAACCGAAGTATATAACATACCCTTTAATAGTTATTTATGATTAAGGTATTAAATTTTACCAAACACGCACGCACTCTCTCACTCACACACACCCACGCACGCACGCACGCACGCACGAACGCACACACATTCTTTTAAAAACAAAAGATATCGATGAAAATACAAAGAAATGTTGAAATTTCGATTGTCAAGCACCGTTCTCATTATAACATACACACAATCTTATTATATGTACGGTGTGTATTGAAGTACCGCCGAAATAGTTATCCATTGCTATTTTTGTACCTAGAAGAGAGCGTAGCACTTTCTTTTTAGTTATGTATAGGGTAACCTGTAATAAGGCTTATGTTAAGATAATCCGATACATTTATTTTGTTAAAAGCTGTTGGTTTTCTAAATAAAGAATCATTCAATTCATTCAATGCTTCTTGTTACATTTTACCTGCATAGAAAATTGTTGTGGAATAATTTGATTTTGTGGTAGCGACAACGACGTGACACCGTACTGTGTTGGTAGATGGAAAGCGGCGCCGTTGCGTACGAACTGTTGAAATTCTGGTGTTGTTAAAGACTGGAAAGAACGAAACACTAAACTTTATACAGGTATATAATCGATGGTGCGACTGCTAGTGATCGTGCAACGTCTGAACGACTTGACCGATTGATGTTATCTTCACAAAATCTACTTGTTTTGAGATCGTACCTAGTCGAAGTTATTAACTAATTCTGTGTTCAAGTGAAACATATTCACAATACATGGTTTCAATGTTAACCTCGTTGGTCTTGGAACAGAAACAGAAACTTTTTTATTCAATATAAAATATAAATAATAGTTATTGATAGTCAATCTTTAGTTTAATTACCACTGGTTCGAAAAAAACCTCTGTCCTGGGAAGAACCAGCAAGAAACCCAGCGGAACTTTTTGTTTAAATAAAAGCTTACAATCATGTATATTTCACAATTAACCACACAAAACAAACGAGAAATAGTTTGGTAGCGATCACCTCATTCCCAGAGGTTATTATCATCCATAAATTCCTTAATAGTATAATAACCCTTTTTATACAAACTTTGTTTAATAAGGTTTTTAAACTTTTTTAAACAAAGTTGTATTGTATTTTGTATATTTTCTGGGATTTTGTTGTAAAAGCGTATACATCGCCCTAAGAATGAATTACTGACTCGGTGGAGTCGAGTAACTGGTACTAGTAGCTTGAGTGTGTTCCTAGTATTTACAGAATGAATATCACTTATTTTTGTAAACCTAATTTTATTTTTGTGTACGTACATTACATTTTCATAAATTTATTGAGAGGCGAGGCGAGAGAGAAATTTATTAATATTTTAATTTCCTTAAATTTTTGTCGCAGCGAGTCTAGGTTTTAAATCATAGATTGCTCTTATGGCCCTCTTCTGTAAAACGAATATAATTTCACTGTCAGTCGCGTGTCCCCATAACACAATACTATATGACTTTATGCTATGGAAATTGTGTTCATAAACGCTGTTGCTGTTCATGAGTTTTTGGGTTCGAATCACGGGTCGGGCCAAAATCGCTTATTAAGTTTTTCTGAGAAGAAATTCTCAGTAGCATCCCGGAGTTAGGAAGTTGGTGTTGCACCTAATCTCTCTCCGGTCGTGTCGGACTGCCGTCCAATCGGAAAATGAGACGAGAGTGCACCTATGCTTGCGTATACGAGGGCGACACTGAAAGTTTTTAGAACTGGCCACTTGTAAACGATATAATAAAAAAATAAGTTCAAATTTTGAAAATGGAACACTGCCAATATTATTTTGTATGTATTTTATTAATTTGTCATTTGTTTACGATTTGGCGGCAAATTGAAAATTGTCTGTGTCACGTCAGCATGACTTTAACGCAAGAAAATTTTCGTGCAACGTTTTTTGTGACTTTCGATGTCATTTAAGTCAATAATGATAGACTTCGATTGGCCTTTCACGATGAAGCGCCATCTCGTGCCACTGTTTACAACTGGTTTAATGAAATTAAACGTGGTCGCACTAATCTCACCGATGATCTGCGTGAGGGACGGCCTTCTACGGCGACGAATGAAGATAATCTTAGTGTTGTAATTTATTGTTAGTTGTTTAAAAGGCGTATGATAGAGACTGACAAAAGAGGGACTTATCAGCAGATTCGGACAAGCTTAGGCATCGGTATGAGTCAAATGCACAAAATCTTCCATGAACATTTAGCGGTCAGGAAGCATTGTGCCCGGTGGATACCTCATAATTTGACAGAGGCCCAAAAACTCCGTCGTGCCGTAAAATGGTTCAAAGATTTAACGGAGGTGACTCAAATGCTGTGTTCGACATACTTACGGGTGACAAAAGCTGGATTTATTGTTGTGATCCTGAAACTAAGAGACAGTCTGCTCCGAGGAGTTGCCGACTAAAGAGAAGAGAGGTCAAAGCGTGGGGAAAAAAGATGGTGGCCCAAATTTTTTCCATTTTCTAAGAACTTTCAGTGTCACGCTCGTACACTCTGATTCTATAATCCTCCCCTGCGCATATGGCTAGCCTCCGTTGAGACAGGTCGCCGTAACCGAAAGTCAATCTGGAGAATATTAGATATGGCTTAGTGTCAAACACGATAATAAAAAAAAATCTGGACCTGATATTATGTGGTCGAGTTATCAATATTTATATTTACATTGCAAAAAATCCGGGATGAAGATCATCGCACCTCCTACCAGAAAGGGCGGAACAACGTCTACCGGGGAAGGTAAGTATATTTGTATTAATTAGAGTTAATAAATGATTTGGCAATACTTGATGCATTGTCTCTTGCAGCCGATGGCTTACTTTTGGTTGCCGTGTGTTACATCCATCCTCGTTTACGAATCAAAATGCAGATACGTTGTCACCCTTGAGGAGTAAGATAGAATGCCTCTTTCACAGTAAAAAGGGTCTCCGGTTCTCTATACTCACCATACGAAACACAGCGGCGTTTAGGTGCTATTTTACGCTGGTATTCTGTGAGAGCGTGGTTCCTCCCCGGGCGAGCCGACCCAATCGCGCTACAACTATACCACTAATATAGCTGAAAAAAGTGAAAGTAAGGCTATACTTACTGATTGTTTCGAAAACCCTGTAGGCGCTTCAATTTTTGGTGGATTCGGAGCTTGATATACTATAGGCTCAGTATATTTTTCAGTGACTTCGTAGGTGGTTTTAGGCTGGAATTTAAAAAACGTAATAATACATCAAAATCTCAGTATTAATAAGTATGAAGAAAAATTAATTAAAAAAAATCTCATATATTCTGTCCTCTTTATCTTTTAAATTCAGAATGCGTCGTAATACATTATTTGAACTGATTGTCATTCATTAATATCTAACGCTTAGGTACTATTTTACTACGCACCCGTAGTTGTTGTCCATATATCACATCCAATTTGGGAGTATTTGAAATAAAGTATATCACTATCTATATATTTGAACATAAATATAAAATTTAAATACTCTTTGAAATGTAACCCTGTAGAAAACAGAACTATGTGTGCAGAGATTGACCATTGTGGTGTTGACTGTTGATGGTTTTGTTATAAAAAACTTGCTTATCAATGACAATGGATAAGTCTCCTATTTCGATTCGATGTTATTACGAACTGATAATTTTAACCAATTATTAACCTATGTTCGGTCTTATCAGCATTCTTTATTTTGCTGTCTTCGAACATAATTATATATTATATACCTATTATTTTTAGTCATCTTTATGTTTTACTCTATATTTAAACAAATAATTACTTTAAAAGTATCAAAAGGTAGTAATTATTTATAACTATTATTAGATCTATTAGTCAGTAGCATCATAAATAATAAAACAAACCGCTTCCGAAGATGCTTCGATTGGGCGGCCTTCAGATGAGTCTGCGACTACGATGGGCTTCTCGGAGAGACTGAGGTTGGGCGCTGGTATAGTGTGGATCGCATCTGTTGGTCACACACAGCTGACACAGATTGTACTGTCCACGGTAATCATAGATAGCAGTAGCACATAGTAGCACAGTCATTTTATTATCGAGTATACGAGAAACAAAGACGCGATGAATTAAATCTATAACGTAACCCGCGAAATTCGAATTTTCTTACGTTTTTTGCAATTTGCAGGTCAGTGTTAGGTTGTATGTTTAACAAAATATGATTCGCGACCGTAACGAGCATGTATTTACAGAATTATAATCATTATAATCATCAATACAACCCTCTTAAGTTCGTATAATACCATTGTATGGCTATTTCCAGAAAAAACTCATTGAAAGGGATTATATGAACTTAGAGGGCATTGGTGATTTTAATGATAATAACTTTGGTAATCAAATATGAATGTGCAACTGACATCTTGTAGATAGCCGTGGACAACATTTGACGTGGTGCATTTCGTGCACGAAATAAGTATAAATATAAATGCAGTAAGGTAATATGATACAAAATCTACGCTTCGAAGAGTAGGCGGGTTTTCAGACACAACCTAGACTTTAAGCTCAAACCTCACTGTCATTTGTCTAATATAATATCTTAGCATGTTCTCGTCATGCAGTTGTCTAATTCCATAGATTTATAATATTTCGTAATACAGGTAACATGCTCAGGGTTCATGCCTAGATCTAAAGTCTAGATTCAAATTTTGAAATTGTAAAGTTATCTAGTTCAAAATCAAGATTGCGTTTGATTACCGGCGTTAGAATATAAATAAAGATGTAAAAAGTGTTGAAATAAATTTCTGTCTCCAATGGCGGCCTTACTTCTAATGGTAAATTATCGCTAATTTAAATTAAGTATTACTTAAATCTACCACTGTCTCTTTCTATTTTCGTTATATGAAAAGAGAGAGACTGCATTTTAGAATTTCAAATTGACGTCGATTTTTTTTAAGTAAGGCCGTGTATCTTCAATAGTATATGTAAGAAAAATGTGAAAAATCATAAATAAAGAAAAACAAGTAAGTTTATAAGTTACTATCCCAACAAAAATGGCTGGTGGCACGAAACCCTAATCTACATATCATGCACTTAACAGGTTTTTAATTGAAGTTCCATTTTATCTCACTACGTACAAGCGAACAGCAAGTGGTAATTTTTTTTTACAACCGACTACAATATAAATTATTAAGGATAACTCAAAAACTACTAGTCAGACCTTGATCAAATCAGATTACGTTGGACCACATGAGAAGCACCAGCTTTCAGATAAAAAAGAATCATCAAAATCGGTTCCCGTAGAAAAAAGTTATGAACACACATCAAAAAAAAGAAAAAAAAAAATACACTCGAATTGAGTATATCCTACTTTTCGAAGTCGGTTAAAAAGACTGACAGACAAGCACACAGTTCAAGTGTCCACACCATCCGCTCAGTTGATGATGTGGCCAATAGACCTACATATCCTTGATAAAGAATCAAAATATAGATGCGTTGTGACTGAGCACTATGATATATTTTAGGCTGCTATTTTACGCTAGTATTGATGTATATACATTTAGGTATCTCCACAGCGAAGAAAAGATTTAGGGAGATCGGTGCGTTATAACTTCTAAGGAATAAGATAGAAAATCTCATTACCAATAACTAATATTATTAATATTCCATTCCGATACCAATGATAGTCGCATGAGTAAAGAAGCTTAGTATTGTGCAGTGCGCATATCAGTCAACCTGTACCACCATGTGAATATACGACTGGATGTGGGGAGGCTGCTCTGATGTACTCGTATTCCGTTGTAGGGGCTGGTGGCAGTCGCGCCGTCTTCCAAGCTCCGCCCGGAAACACGCTGCGTACGTTTTGGTTGTAATGTTTTACTGCGTATCTGGAATTCAGGGATTAATTAAAAATAGCCTGGTATTTATCCGTTAGTCTCTAGGCTTCGGATTACAGATCAGTGAGCTGAAGAGGTAATGACCGGTTGTATAACTCAGAGAACCGATTAAATTATAATGAGTTTCTCTAAAGGGGCAACCTCGTACCGGTCAGTAAAGTGACGACCTCCCTATAGTTGGAGTGTCGACCTGTCAATGCATATAGGAAGTCCATGTATGCAGGTGTTTTAAGACCGTGTTTTGAAGCATTCCATGGTCAGCGGTAAACTTGTGATCCGCTGTAATGATGAACGTGGATTTATTCGTTGTGTTGTGGAGGCAAGAAATCACAGAATTTCGTTCGCGGGAACAACAGTCCGGTGTTTGTACACCGGAATGTTGTTCACAGTGTAATTATAACTTTATACTCGTATAATTATCAGGACTTTTCTTATTACAAAGACGTTTTTTGATACTATGAATTTCATGATTTGTAAATATATAAAGTAGCTTTACGAATTATTATTGATACATTTGGTTTCTCAGACATGCAGGTTTCCTCACGATGTCTTCCTTCACCGCCGAGTACGTGGTAAATAAGCACTTAAAATTGCAATGAACTATTAATTGGTGCCGTACGGATCGATCCCTTACTAGCGTACTGTGAAGTCTACAGCGAGCGTTTAGCTCCGGAGCTACAGTGGCTCTCCTAGAAATGACAGGCAAACAAAAATAAGAGGCATGTGCCTAGGAATGGCACGTATATAGACAGTGACTCTATATTAGATTTATTGCCGTCGCTTATTAGATCAAGTGGTGGCAAAGTACAGCCACTTACATATACTGTTTACAATTATTTTATCACACAAAGGAACTCTGAGCATGGCCCTTCCCATAGCTCGCTGAATGATTAAGCTACCTCATACCGCCAACAATTAAGGTGTGTGCTTAGGTAAATAAAGATGAAGATAACCGGAGACCATTTTTCTGGAACCGAGGCATTCCATCTTAGTCTCAAGGGTGACTGCAATCTTATTAGAAGAAGACAGATGTAAATATGTACGGGCCACAACATCCACCTATATCAGGTCGACGGTAAGCTTGTTGACACCCTTCCCTTTAAAATAATAATTAATAGGACTTTTTTTTATAATAATACGTATTTCATCAAAGAGGCATTCCATCTTAGTCCTCACGGGTGACAACGCATCTGCATCTTGAGTCTTTATTGAGGATAGATGTAGATGTCTATGGGTCACAGTAACCACTTACCATCAGGTGGACTGAGTGTTTGTTTGTCACCCTATCCTAAAAAAAAAACTTCAAAGCTTAAATAAAAGCATCAGTTTTATTAATTAGTGTTTCCTCTTAATATTAGCTATTTCACTGTACCGCGAGTCATTTATTTTATAGAATACGGGTGACAAACGAGCACACAGTCCACCTGATGGTAGGTGAATGATGTAGCCCATAAACATGTACATTTATCCTCTATTATGACTCAAACAAACATTATTAACATAACTAATATTCCCTTTAACCACTTCTGGTAAGCTTAAAATACTTGTGTTAGAAGTGGTTCACGACTGTAGTCGAATGGCGGATTCGAACCCACGACCTTTCGAGTTCGCGGTCCGCGCCCTGCCATTAGGCTACTGACGAAAATGCAGACGCGTTGTTACTCCTGACAATAGAGACGGAATGCCTCGTTTGCAGTAAAAATGGTCTTCGATTTTCTACACTTACCATACGAAACACAGCAACATTAAGCTGCTATTTTATATTTTACGCTGGTATTATGTGAGAGCGTGGTCTTTCACCAGTCGAGCCAACGCATTCGTGCTACAACCATAATATAGCTGTTGCTTGGCTCTACCACGTATTTTATGAAATATTTATAAACATTTCGATTGTTTAATGTCCTTTTCGCGGACAGAGATATTGTTAATGTCTTATTTTTTCACGTAAGGTACCTGCGGGTAATAAGACCTAGCTAAGGGAAAATAGAAAATAAAATCAGAAATATCTAATTTGGTCTACAGATTTTAATAAAAGTCATTAGTTTAGTACAGTTTCTATAAAGTATGAACGAATATTGTAACATTTGCCAAAAAGAAAAACAAAATTAAACATTTCTAAATACCTTACTAGTAGGCCTTATTTTACTATGGTAAGGTAATAAGGCCTACTGCTTTAACGAACTCTAGTAATCAATTTAGACGTAATATATTTAATATTTGTGATCAATAATCATATGAATGCAGAAATTAAGACTTAAAATTTTAAAAAAATTACAAATTGCCTCAGCTCAGTACTTAAAGTAATTTGTATAATTGTGAACAAACTGACAAACAAACTCAATCCTCGTGATTATCGTCAGGGCGTCGGTTATGTCTCGAGTTGAGTTGAGTGTTAGATAGAGTTGAGAATTGGGTTTATTGTTGGGATGAGTGTCTTCCCAACCAAATTTCTGTCACAGTGGCCAGTCTCAACGGAGACTAGCCCATCAGCACAGTACAGAATTATAGTATTGGAATGTATGCACAAGAATAGGTGCACTCACTATTCCCTCACACTCATCAAACCGCAATCCGACACGGTCCAAGAGAGCTTTTGTCTTTGCACTGCACTGGGTAGCGTGTCTCTGCCAACTTGTAGGGACATTATCGTGCAATAGAAATCTGTCATTATCTCCTTAACAGAGTGTGGTGATCATAAATAGGATTTTTATTACTTAGGCCTTATAGGCCGACAGGCCTTATTAGCCGCAGGCACCTTAGATATCATTGCGGTTTAAAAATAATATACCGAATTTGATGAAAGCGGCTAGCGTCAATAAATCCCAATCTCTCGCTTCACGTTCGAGATGTGCAATCAAATATTCTGATATAAAATAATGTACCTGTGAGGTAAAGATGATCTATACACGACATAAGGTGCTCTATGCAAAGCGGCTGCGGCTGGCATGATGCGCTGGTGCGTCCAGGGCCGCTGCAGCACCACGCCAGGTCGGAACACTGCCGGCGAGCGTACTCTGTTCACGTTCGCCACACGGCTGTAGTACGCCGCTTGCGTTAGCGAGCATATTGTGATGAACAGCAATTGTGTCTGAAAATAGGTACATATAGGTAATTCCATAATGCACAAAATAATTGGTACAAAGGCGAAATTAATGCCAAAATTGCATTCTCTGCCAGATACGAGTAACCTTTGTTATTGTGGTGAGGCGCTCTGGGTAGGTAACAATTATTACTTTTTATTATTTGTATTAACATTAAGTGGCAATCTCTAATTACAATTATAATATAATTTAATAAATTAATAGTAAAAAACGTTTCTAAAAACAAGCTTTTATTAAGCACTCGCTATCTTTGGGTGTTCACCATATTGGATTTAGAGTGACGCCATTTTATTTTCGTATCCTTCTCAGTAAACACTTTCATTTAATACCCATGTCATGGGGAGTTTATAGAAAAGAATTAGACTGCCATCTTGAGCCGTCCGCTATATTGGATTTAGTATGACGTCACATAGCTAACCATGCATTGTCATCCAAACTAAACATGTATGCAAAATTTCAGCTCTATCGGTTGAGAATAACTGCTTTATAATTCAGTTGCAAGATGTGATCCTAAAAAACATACATTGCAAGTAAAGTTTTTTTTTATAGGATAGTGTGACAAACGAGCACACAGTCCACCTGATTCTAAGTGGTTGCTGTCACCCATAGACATCCACATTTATCCTCAATAAAGAATCAAAATGCAGATGCATCGTCACCCGTGAGGACTAAGATGGAATGCCTCTTTTCCAGTAAAATGGGTCTCCGGTTCTCTACACTCACCATACGAAACACAGCAGCGTTAAGCTGCTATTTTACGCTTGTTTTCTGTGAGAGCGTGGGCCTTCCGCGGTCGAGCCGACCCATTCGTGCTACAACTAATATAGCTGCAGCATGGCTCTACCACGTGTATAAAAGCTTTAAAAAAAACTGTGTCAACACGTGTTTACCTATTATCAAGGTGACAGGACCCCTTTTTTGTTTTGAAGCACAGAGTATATGATTGTACTATTCATACTACAAGTCCGTTTAGATAGGTCGCACCCTCTTAGGTATAATTATATATTATACCTATGCTTGCCGCCAAGCGGCAGCGCGTGCACTGCTGTTTCCTGGTCTGAAGAAAAAGAAGAAAGAAGGTTGTAAGCGTCCATGGGCTACAGTAGCCACTCAGTACCATCCGGTGTACTGTATACTCATTTCTTACTTCAGTTTTATAAACCAATTTTTTTACAATCCCAAAAATAATTTCTTTACATTCACAGGTCCACCGTGTGCATTGTGTTAGTAGAAGTTGCCTTTCTACAAACGTTAACGCATATAGAATACTATAAAAATGAATAGGCATTACGTATCTCAACGCTAAGGCAAATGAAGTATCATTTTTAAGATTTCCATTAGGGTTATCGAACGAATAAAATAAAACTAATTTTACGGACTTTAAGTCGTTTATAAACGTAGTGGTTATATTCTCTTTGGTACCGTTTAATTTTCACATGACGTCTGATGTCATAATTAGTCCGAGCTATCTCCAGATTTTCAAATTCATTTATAGAATGAGCTTACAGTAACTTGAAGTCTTTTTTATAGGATAAAGGTGAGAAGCGAGCACACAGTCCACCTGATGGTAAGTGGTTGCTGTGGCCCATAGACATTTACATCTATTCTCGTTTGCGAATCAAAATGCAGATGTCTTTCCAGTCACTAAGATGGAAATTAATGCCTCTTTTCCAGTAAAAATGGTTTCCGGTTCTCTACATTCACCATACGAAACACAGCAGCATTAAGCTGCTATTTTGCGCTGGTATTCTGTGAGAGCGTGGTTCTTCCCGGTTCGAGCCGACTCATTCGTGCCACAACTACCTATACAATTAATATAGCTGTGGCATGACTCTACCACCTGTAAAATTATGCAGTGCAAAAAAGTCAGCAGTGGTGTAATTGGATTTGGATTTCATTTTATTAATTATGAGATCTCAAGCAGATCTTCGCTAGCCGCCAGTACCCATCCAGCCTTCTATAATATTAGAATATTTTTAAAATTCCTATAGCCTCTTGAATAATCCTCGGTAGGAATCGGTGTCATTTTTTGTCGTCATGTCATGGCGTTCCGGTGTAGGGAGAATTTGCCGTTCGCAGTACCAGACGTCTCGTACCATTGACGCTTACTCTCCCTGTCATCATGCTCGGTATTTTACGTCTGACAAAGACGAGATTGTTATACCGCCATCAATCGGAATCCATGAGAATTTTCGATGTGCCAATTGCCAACTGTGTTACTTGCCTACTATATCGTAAAAAGTAACCGTGGTAGAGCCACGCTGCTGTTATATTATGGAAGGTACGCTCTCACAAAACATCAGCGTACAATAGCAGCTTAGTGCTGTTGTGCTTCGTATGGGGAGTGTAAAGAACCAGAGACACTTATTATTGGAAACGAGGCATTCTATCTTAGTCCTCAAGGGTGACAACGCATCTGCAATTTGATTCTTAATCGAGGCTAAATGTAGATGTTTATGGGCCACAGCATTCACTTACCATCAGGTGGACTATGTGCTCGTTTCTCATCCTTATACCATAAAAAAGTGACTAATGTAGTATTGGGTTTGCGCTAGTGTAGGCGTTGGGCTAGCCACCTATCACTTTCACAATTCTTCAGTTTAAGCCAATATTTTAGCTAAACGAGGTCGGAGTAGCTCGCTGCTCCTTGAACTCTGCCTACTCTCTTGGGGATAACAGGCGTTGTGTACTAGCCTGGAACTATATTCTGAAGCAAAATTCGCAATTATTAAACAATATGTCTCCGTTACTTATTATTTATAGACGAATGTTTATGAGTCAAGTGCAGCGACAACGGCCGCACTATAAAAGGAAGGTGTCGGGAAAGAAGGCTTGTATGTCTAGACTGTCCACACTACGGAACCGGTTTATTTCTAACTGAAGAGAGTTTGTCGGGGATATTCTCACAAGCCATTCTAGAGATGTATCTGTTCAAAGAATTCCATATAGGTGACTTTCTTACTTTTTTCTTGATCTTTGATAAGGAATCTATTAAGGGCTTGAACACATCGATTGAAGATCACGAGTTGTTAATTTTGTTCATGTGACGCAACCGTTGCGTTAATATAGTTTATGTACCCGTATTCAACGACGCAGTATTTTTTTAAGTTTCTATAGCAATTTTAGTTTGTAATCTATTGTTTATTATAAGACCATCAAAATGAACAGTTTTCTTGGAACAAGTTAGGCCTCACATGGAATACTGTTCTCATCTCTAGGCCGGAAAACCCCAGTGGCAGTTCCTTCCACTTGACTGTATTCAGTGAAAAGTAGCTAGAATTGTCGACGGCCGAGTTTTTCTTATCAACTCACTGGCGCTGCGAAGAGATGTTGTGAGATGATGCAAATTGTTCGTAATAATTCCAGCCTAATGCGCCTTAGGGATCTTTAAGAAAAAAACCTACTTCTACTTTTCTAATAACGCGTCATAATCATCATGGTTAAAGCCCACAACATCAAATTTGTGGCTGAACATAAACCCCCTGCACACTGCTACAGAACACGATCCTAGGCCACTGACGGATTCTTTTGTATCATATCAAATTGTCACGATATTTTATAGTAGATATAGTGATGATTTGGTGTTGGAGGAAGAGGACAAGGGTACGTGCCCCCTACATTAGTTTTTTTAGTTATTATATTTGTAAAGCTCAGAGCCAATACCCTTTCCCTGATAATTTTTCTTTTTGTTAGGTTGATAAACGAGCACACGGTACTCCTAATGTAGAGTAGATGTTCTGCCCTATAACCGTATTTATCCTCAACAAAGCATTAAGTGAGATAGGGTCAGAAGCAGCTCTCCTATGAAAACATAGTTTTTAATGTATTAAGTGATAAGACATTCTTATTGTTAAACTGCAGGCCTTATTTTATTATTGTAAATGTTGGCAATGTGATGAACGTAACAAAAATTATTAGCATTTTGAAGGTGATGTAAAGCAATTGCATTGTACAAGAGCAGAAAGAAAGTAGGTCCAAGAATACTACCTTGTAGAATACCAAAAGAAATTGGTTCAGGCTGCTTTTCTGCACGAGGATTTTAATTTATGGCTATCATCGTAAAAGATGGCTTCCAAGTCGTTCTAAGCCTTTACATATAATACCATAGACTTCTAGTTTTCTTAAAAGAAATGGTATTGATGTTAAATCGAACGCATTTGCTAGGTCTAAGACGTGGAACTATTGTAGAGATGTAATACTAAAATATTAATGGGGAAGGTAAGTGAATTTTCTCTTAATTAATTTATTAGCAGTCGATAATTTGTAATTCTAGATATGGTCGGAGCAAATATGTTAAATTTTAAAGGTATCCATCTTGTCTTTCTCCCTCTATAGTCAAACTTCATATATACCCAAAATTATAACCTAGCGAGCATACCGAAGTAGAAAAGAAATAATCGAGAGTAATATACGTCAAGTTGTCAAAACACTACAATAAACGTTTCACTTTTCAATCGTTAATTATTCGAATCATGCTATTAAAAACTGCCGCTGTCTCCGTCAGTGTGAATGCCCAGTGAGACATGCCACGGGTGGTTGCGCGCGAAACCGAGTAGATGCGCGAATTGTTCGGACCGTTGCGCTGAGCAAATTATAACTTCTTAAGATAATAATCAACTTAAATGGTAATGAACTTGAGATATTTGAAGATACTTTCATTATCTGTGTTTACGATAATGATTTCTTATATTTACGCCAGCACGAAACTTTGAATGAGATTATTGTATTATAGAGATAGATTCGATAGACCATAAATCATTTTGAACGAACAAACATTCCCTCCAAGAATAATCTGTATGTTACATTAAGATCTAAGGTTGCATACGAAACCCCCCCCCCCCCACTCCACCTACGTATTATTAAAATTTAATAAAATTAAAGCGTCTGTTGGCGTTATTTTATAACAAAAAAACATTTTTTTAATTTTTGTCTGTCTGTCTGTTTGTTTGTTCCGGGTGATCACCGAAACGGCGCCGACCGA